ACAACCGTGTGTGTGTGAACGGGCTGGCAATAAATTATATATATATACATGCTCACCCTGTGCTTTTTAGTTTTTAGTTTTAGTAGAGGTTTTACGGCGCTCGCAACTGCATAAGGTCATATGAGCGCCAGAAGATTAGAGGTGTTACAAGAGAGTAACAATTAAAAAGAAGAAGGCGAGATAAGGACGATAGATGTTTGATAGGAAAAAATGAGCAAACCACACCAGAGCACCCGCCAACCACCCACTTAGCAAGAGTTTTACACAGCACTTGCAAGACAATTAGGTCATACAAGTGGAACATTAGTAGAAGTGTTTCTGGAGGGAGACAGTGTCATACAAAAAGAAAAGAGAGAAAGAGGAAGTTTTTTAAAGTTTTTGTTTTAGTAGAGGTTTTACGGCGCACGCAACTGCATAAGGCTCTGGCCACACTGCAAGCAGAGCGGGCACAGCAGAGCGCAGCAGTGAAAATTATTACAAAGACAAGGAGGCGACTGGCTGCGCGACTCGAGGCGGATCAAGCGCAAAGATGGTTTATTTATTGCCGCTGGCTTAGCTTGAAATTTGCTCACGTCTGCACGCACGTTGTTGTTAAGTGTCAATAAAAGAAATAGATAAAAATCAAAGAGGAGAGGGGGGGAGAGAGAGAGGGGAGAGAGGGGGGGAGAGAGGGGAGAGAGTGGGGGAGAGAGAGAGAGAGAAGAGAGAAAGAGAGAGAGAGAGTGAAGGGGAGGGGCGCGAGAGAAAATGAGAGATGAATGAGTGTACACAAAGGGAATGTTTTAGAGAACAATGAATAGGTATATTTTGTATTCGTGCTCAGGCGTGTCCAGCGTGCAAACGTGAGTATATTTTCTAGCTTTGCGAGCTAAGATAAATAAACCCGATTTAATTGCGCTCGAAAACGCTGGAAATTTTCTCCCTTCTGTCTGACATTCAGTGACAATAACAATGACAAGAAAGGAAAAAGAAAGTACGTTACAGCTTAGAAAAGGGTGATGAAAAGCAGAGTAAACTATTGTAGAGACTTGACAGAACGTCGGGTTGTGAACTAAACACAGACGAATTAATCTAGATCTGAAGTTTATTTACAAGCGCTTTATATACGCATGTGCGCATTAATAATAAAACAACATTCGTTTAAATGGACTACTTTAGCACGCCGGTGTCGTGTGACTTGGCCAAAGTCGCTACACTATGAATTTAATTTGTACTCTAAACTCTTATTCCACACAAGGCGTTTCATGATCTCTTCTCGATTATATAATAACATAATTATACTTGCCGACCCCATCGTTTGCCCCAACATTCCCTTCGCCAACCCTTTCATCTCTCTCTCTCTCCCTCCCTCTCTCTCTCTCTCTCTCTCTCTCTCTCTCTCTCTCTCTCTCTCTCTCTCTTTCTCTCTCTCTCTCTCTCTCTCTCTCCCAGGTGCACCCATTTCTTTTTGCTTTTTATCTGTTGAGTCTCCTGGTCGACCAGGACAAATAACGCCAGTCATTTCCTATCCATGGGCAACTGAAACTGATATGAAAAAATAACGCCACATGACGTTGCATTGCACCGCCCGCTCCGCTCTGCTTGCAGTGTGGCCACCCAATGTTAGCGCCTCAAACAGCTGCGCTCTGCTGTGCCCGCTCTGCTCGCAGTGTGGCCACCTAATGTTAGCGCCTCAAACAGCTGCGCTGTGCTGTGCCCGCTCTGCTCGCAGTGTGGCCACCCAATGTTAGCGCCTCAAACAGCTGCGCTCTGCTGTGCCCGCTCTGCTCGCAGTGTGGCCACCTAATGTTAGCGCCTCAAACAGCTGCGCTCTGCTGTGCCCGCTCTGCTC